GTGCCACCTAGCTGCCCCAGGTATTTTCTTAAAATACCCTGTATTACCTAACACCGTTCTGTGCATATAGTAGATGTTCAATTAAATGATCCCCGAACTAAGGTAAAAGTGTAGAAGCTGAGGGAAGCAGGGCAAAGGCCTGAACCTGCTGCTCAGCCCTTGTCTGAGAGGCACCAAAATGTCTCTAGGAGGAACAAAAGACAGTGAAATAATTCAGGGGGAGAATATTCTTGGGGGGTGGTAACAAGGAGAACAAGTAGTATTTCTTTATCTGTTTGTTACCTGGTGAAGAAAGTATTTGGACAAAATCGAAAAAAAATGTGTCTTGGTTGTTGTGTCCTCCTGACCATAGGAAAGCAAAAGACATGGATCTGGAGAGTATGACTTCAGCTTCTGCTCTGCAGGCTTTCTCCAAGCTGTTCAGCTCTCCTGAAGAGGAGGAGGATGACCTGGAGCAGGTGGTAAGTATCTATACAGGGATCCAGGGTTAGGTTGCTAGCAGACCGGGTCATTGCCTTACCATGTTAGAGGTGGGCTCAGAAATTATTGTAGAGCATGGACAGAAGAATAACCTTCAGAACAGTTCTGGTAAACATTCCAAACAAATCTTCCCAAACACTGTGTAGGAAAGCATAGATGTAACTATGGTTGCAACAACCACTTTCTCTCTCTCTCTCTGTCTCTCTGTCTCTCTGTCTCTGTGTCTCTCTCTCTCTCTCTGTGTCTCTCTCTCTCTCTCTCTCTGTCTCTCTGTCTCTCTCTCTCTCTCCCTCTCTCTCTGGAAAGAAGGGACAGCTTAAATTGCTTTTCCCATTTTTATTGATATCTTTTGATTTAAATTACCTTCATTTTCCAATATATCCCTCCCTCCTCTCCCTTTCTCCTCTCAAGAGCCACCCATTATAACAAAAGAATACAAAAGAGGAGGACAATAAGTTCAACAGCACTAACCACCACATCAGACAAGTCTGAGAGGTATGCAGTACTCCATACCCACAGTCCCCCATCTCTGCAGAGAAGGGAAGCAGGTGCATTCTTTCTTCTCTTCTCTTCTTAGGGACCAAGCTTGATTGGATTGCATAGCATTCAGTTTTTGTTGTTGTTGTTGTTCTTTTGTTTTTACTGTAGTCATTGTTGCTCCCTATTACCTCAGGGACAATATAGAAAGTCCTCTGACATTGAAAGCTCTTCCCAACCTGGTCCCTTCTTCCCTTTCCCATCTAACCCCTGTCTCCTTCTTCCAGTACTCAGCTCAAATCCTTTTTTCTGCAGGAGGCCTTTCCCAATCCTCTCAGCTGCTAATTGTCTTACTTGTGAGAGTACCATCCATCTATTTTGTTCATATCTTTTATGTACAGTGTGAGCTTGATGTTAACGACTACGTTTTTTGCCCTTTTTTGTATCCCCAGCACTTAGCAGAGTGTCTGGCACAGAGTAGGTACTTAATAACTGTTTACTGATTGATTGATTGAGTAAGCAAGTAAGCACTTAATGAAAGCTTGTTGAATGACTATATATTGTTTTCCTCATTCAGCTTACTTCACTTTGCATCACTTCATATATCTTTTCATGCTGTTCTGTATTCCTTTTATTCATCATTTCTTATAACCCAGTATACTCACACATCACATTTTATTTAACAACCATGTTTCAAAATGTTTATCCTTATATTTATTGTCAAATAATTCTTGACAACTATTTGCTGTGTTTACATGAAATAACATTTTCATTTATACTGTATTCCTTAGGTCCCAAACTTCCCTCTCCCTACTCCCCTGATCCTAACTTACCTGTAAAGTGGATACAGGGGGCAGCTAGGTGGTACAATGGATAGAGCACCAGCCCTGGAGTCAGGAAGACCTGAGTTCAAATCTGGCCTCAGACACATGACACTAGCTGTGTGACCCTGGGCAAGTCACTTAACCCCATTGCCTAACCAAAAAAAAAATGGATACAGGCACAGGGCCAAATGACAGAGTATTTTTAGGCCTAGTTTGAGCCTAAAAATGGTTCTCCAGTGTTTTCCTAAATAGAACTGCAAGTCAGGGGTATTTTGAGTCAGGGAGGGGATCCCAGATGGCCTACAGCTCTACTAGGGGACCCCTCTGACAGCTTCTTTTTGGCCATCCCAGTGCTTCCAAGATAACAGGAATATTCTCATGCTATCCTCTCAGTTTTGTATAATAGTAAATCCTGCCTAGATAACTGTCTACATGAGGGCAAATAAATGTTTACCAGAAATCTATGGAATACCACAGAATACATGGATCTGAAAGAAATTCATTTTATTGTTGTTGTATTTTTTAATGAAGCATTTCATTATGGGAATTGGGAAATTGTTTTCCCATGAAATGGTAGAATCCCACCATCATATGCACCAGACCAGTATATTCCTTTCAAAGCATTCATTTACCAAGTTTGGAAAGACATATAATCTGGATGAACGGCAAGTTCATTACCATTAGATTGTAGAGATAGTCACTGAGTCCTTGAGTTTCCCCCTCTAGGGTAAATTTGGTAGAGAAGGGTAGACTTTAGATTAGTCATAAAGTAGAAATGGAATTTGCACAGGAGGAGAATATAATTATCTGGGAGCTAGGAAGAAGAGGTCAGGTTCAGAAACCAGAAAGTTTTAGTCAGGAAAAAGTGTAGGAAGAATAAAACGAAGTGAGAAAGCTGGAAATTAATAAGTGCTTAGAATCTATAAAAGCAAGACACAGGAAAAAGAAATAGGAGGGAGCTAGAAGAGAATTAGGTACATGGGCTCCTCTGTGCTTATTTAGTTGAAACAGCAGGAAAATAATTGCCTGGAGACCACCTCCTGAAAATGGTCCAGGGCTGTATCATTAAAGACATCGATGGAAATCAAGTCTGCTGCCCTACAGAGACTGCAAATGAAAGGAAGGGACAATTTGAACTGGAGCAGAGCCAGAGAGGAGGATTTACCCTACTGCAAAATGTTATCACCATGAACATTTAAACACAGGGATAGTTATTTACATCTAGCTCTGTTCTAGGGGGAAAAAACCAAGAACTCAGGAGAACACAAAGTGAGGCTACACATTACTCTCCCCCACAGTCTGTGATCCAGCCATGCTGGCCTCCTTGCTGTTTCTCTTGGTTGTCAATCCAGCTCCCATCCCTGTGCCTTTGCACCGGCTGTTCACCTTGACTGGAATACTCTCCCCTTTTCCCTCTGCTTCTTAGAAGGAAGTCTTGGCTTCCTTCAAGACTCAGCTCGAATCTCATCTTCTGCAGGAGACCTTTCCTGATCCCCCTAGTTGCTAGTCCCTTCCTCTCTGAGGTTAATTTCCATTTACTCTTTATATGTCTTGTCATATGTCATATGTCATATATCAGATATGTTTGTCATAGTTGTTTGTATGTTGTCTCCCCCATTCGACTGAACTTGAGGGCAGGGACTGCCTTTTGCCTTATTTTACATTCCTAGCACTTAGCACAGGGCCTGGCACATTACTATGTGCCCTTAATAAATGTTTGTTGAGTGAGATGATTGATCTCAATGAATAACATAGCTGATAGTGGGAAATTATTGTCATAAGGTAATGATTCTGTATGTCTCGGTTATAAGCAAACTGGAGATAAGCAGTCATTCAGCTACTGTAGCACTGATGTGTTGGAGAGGATAATGTTTGAAAAAATGGATTTATAAATTGTGAAATGTTATACAAATATATGGAATTAATATTATTAATAAGCAATTAAATTTTGCAATAGAAAAGCTGCTGTCTTTTCTTTAGCATATGTTCATTTGGGAGCTGAAGAAATATCACCAGAATGATTTTTTTTAAAGCCTACTCTTTGTCACAGCAAGAGACTTCTTCTCTGCGCATTAGTTTGTTTGTGCCAACCTCACTGAAAACTGTCAAGAACTCCTAAGATTAGAAAGAAAGTACTTACTTTTTTTAAAAAACTCATAAGGGACTTGAAAGTGTCTAGGGACCGGGATGGGACCTATGATCTCATTGGCATGAGGACTTCTGGTGAGAGAACTCCCTTTAACAATGCAAATGGGTAACTTCTCTACAATGTATAGCCTTAGACTATGAGAGCTGCCCAGAACAGTGAGACATTAAGTGACTTGTCCAAGGTCACCCAGCTAGCCATTAGGTGTCAGGGACAGGACTTCAAGTTTCTTTGAGATAATTTCAACAACACATCAAAGATTTTATACCAAGAGTAGTCTAAGTCTCTTCCATTTCACAAAGTGGTAGGGATAACAAGGACAAATTGCTTAAATTATTGGCCGTGGTTCTTTGGTACAGGCTCAAATAATAGACAGCAATTACCAGAAGCTTCTGAATGCTGTTATTACCCAGTTTGATATTTTCATTTGAGAAATAAGTTTTTAATAATTTGTCTTCGTTAAATTAGTAAGCTGAAACTCCCCTCTCTGTTCCAATAGACTGATCCAATCAGTAAAGCCCATGGAGAGCATGTTAATTTTATCAAGAACTTTCAAGGCTTTATTTCTACTGATTTTAATGTTCTGTAGAAGGAGGCATTAAAAAGACTTTCTACTGGCTATTAGTATTTCAGCCATTGCTAATTTATCAAAAGGCCTCAAAGTTACCGATAAAAAGACCAACATATATTACAGAATTGGGATTATCACATAAAAATGTATATAATATGTATGCCCCAAGGGGGTCAGTGATAAAAAGAAAGTCCTGCAGACTTCAAAATATTTATAACAGCCCCTTTTGTGGCAGCAAAGAAGTGAAAACCAAGTAGATGCCCACTGATTGGGGAATGGCTAAACAAACTGTGGGCCACAGATGTAATGGACTATGACAATGAATATTATGAATATAGAGAAGCATGGGAAGACTGATACAGAGTGGAGTGAGCAGAGCCAGGAAGACAAAATACACAATGACTACAACAATGTAAATGGAAAGAACAACAACCCCAAAACAATAAAAAAAAGAATATTGCTAAATTACAAAGAACAAGCTTAGATTCAAAGAAGAGATAGGAGAAGACACCTCCCCCATTCCTTTGCAAAGGTAGGGGTTCCATGGGTTTGGAATATGGCAGATAATGTCAGATTTTTATGATATATTGATCAGTTTCACTAAACATTTTTCTTCTTCTTGGTTTTTCTTTTTAAAAAATTGTTTACTATGAGGGGTGGCATTCTGGGACAGGAATCTAGGTGATGTAAAAGATGCACTAAAATGGGATTTTAAAAAACGAATGTAGGGGCAGCTAGGTGGCACAGTGGATAGAGCACTGGCCTTGGAGTCAGGAGGTCCTGAGTTCAAATCTGGCCTCAGACACTTGGCACTTACTAGCTGTGTGACCCTGGGCAAGTCACTTAATCCCGATTGCCTTGCCATCCCCCTTCTCAAAAAAATGAATGTACGCTTCAGTACTTTTTCAGGTACCAGGTTGAAGTTACTGCTGTTTAAATCCACAGGTTTATTTTCCGGACAGGTATGCCTTCTGGGAAAATAAGTAAAAATAAGTAAAAGACTGTTACCTAGTGACTCCAGTAGGTAAATAGATGGTTCTCTATAGCAGAGATGTCCAACATGCTCATTGCAAACAACTGGATCAAAATGTCATTGGGAAATATTTAACAAAATAACTAAATATTTAACAAAATAAATAAAATTGCAGTAGAACATAGATAATGTTACTTTGTGGTTTTCTAAGTCAATATGCAGCCGGCAGCAATATATGGTTTGGTGGCCCTGTTTCTATTTGAGTTTGACTCAGCTGTTTTTGTTTTTGTGTCCCTAGCACCCAGCACAGTGCTTGACAAACATAGTGAGTGTTTAATAGATGCTTGAATGAATCTAGACTAATTCAGTTGTTTCTAGTGTGGAGAACACCTGGAATATCAACTTAGTTCTTGGACTACCTCTGGAACCTTGGTCCAATCAATCAATCAATCAACGAGCATTTATTAAGCACTCACTATGTGTCAGGCACTGCCCTAAATGCTGAGGACATGAAGGTAAAAATAGGCCCTGCCCTCCAGGACTCATGTTCTAATCGGGGAGACAACGTGCAAACAAGTATGCACATTCAGCTTACAAAAAGTTCAACATACATGCAGTGTAAGCCCATGATCATCCCAGAGGGGAGGCAGCAGCAGTTTGGGTGAAGGCTGGAACCCTGTGGGAAAATCTCTTGACCAAAGTGAGATTTTAATTGAGTCTTGGAAAAAGCCAATAGGCAGAGGTGAGGAGGGACAACATTCCTGTCATGGAGTTCATCCAGTGTAAAGGCTTGGAATTGGGAGATGGAGGGTCCTGTTGGGTTCCTCACGCAGGAATCCAACAGGACCAGCAGGGGGTCTGGTGTCATTGGATCACAGAGTACATAGAAGGGAGTAAAGTATAAGACGACTGGAAAGGTAGGAAGGGGTCAAGGTGTGAAGGGCTTTCAATGCCAAGAAGAGGGGTTTCCTAGAGGTACTAGGGAGCCATTGGAGTTTTTTGACTGACATGGTCAGACCTGCACTTTAGGAAGATCACTTTGGTAGCTGCGTGGGCTTGGAGTAGGGAGAGAATCAAGGCAGGCAGACCCATCAGCACTATTGCAGTTGTCCAAGTTTTAGGTGATGAGAAACTGCACTGGGCCGGAAGCATTGTGAGTAGAGAGAAGGTGATGTATTTGAGAGATGTCGTGAAGGTAGAAATGACAAATTCCATTACAACAATGAGAGCTTTAGTCCTCATCTTTCTTGACCCCCTTCCAGTTCCTAATACTATCACCCCATCTGCCCCTTTAAAAATTTCCTTTTTTATTATAAACATTTCAATCCATAAAGAATAAAAAAGAGGACTGCCTATGAAACTGAACTTGGTCTTTAAAAAACAACAACATGTGTATAATATGACAATTGTTGGAAACACTGTGAGGGAACAGGCACATTCATGCACAGTTGGCCTGGCTGGGAATTAGTCCAACCATTCTGGAAAAGCAACTCAAAACCTTGCCCCAGGAAGCACTAAACGCTGCATCCCCTTTGACCCAGCTAGAGGTCTGATGTCCAGAGCCAATCATCTCTGTGTTAAAGGTCTGCAAGGACATAGAAGCCAGATACTGCAAACAAAATAATAACTTGTCACTTTTCCTCTTGGGAGAATAGTAGCAATTTACTTCGGTGGAGAGAATACCAGACCAGGAGTCAGAGGCCCGTAAGTTTAAGTCTGTCATGTGCCAATTGGGTCCTTACTTTTTGAGCCTCAGTTTCCCTACCCTGTAAATGGTATAAAAAAAATCACAGAGGGTTTTCATGAGGGTTTAATTAGATAATAGATATGAAAGTGCTTTGTAAACATAAAATCATTGTGCCAAGGTAAGATATTATTATTGTATCAGAGATAAGTAATAAATTAGATCTAGAGTTAAAAATCATCAAATTCAAATCATTAATAACCAGGTGAGCTGTGTAAATATTACTTACACAATTGTGGACTCTTTCAGTCATATCTATCATCTGCTGTTGGAGCCTTGAGCCCTGGGAATATTGGACCAGCAAAGAAAGAAGAATCCAAAGGTATATTGCTCAATAAAACATGAAACATAATCAGTGTTTGTTGATAGCTTTCTTAATAGTAGTGCTTCAATTCAATTTAGCCCCTATTTATGCCAGACATTGTGCTAACCAGGAATACAAAGGCAAGAATGAAACAGCCCCTGCCCTCAGGGAGCTTTCATCCTACTGGGATAGACACAGATAAGCATAAGCCCTGGTCATTGGAGGCAAGAGGGCTCAAACAAGGGGCAGAATCACAACATTTAGGTGATGGCACTGGAGTGGACTTTTGAAGGAAGATAAGGATTCTGAAAAGGAGAGATAAAAGCATCCTAGACACAGGGGACAGTTTGTGTGAATACACAGAGGTGGAGGGTGGGGTTGGAGAGCAGTTAGTAGTACAGTTTGGCTGGAACGCAGAGTGTGTAAAGAAGAATATGAAATAAGGCTGGGAAGTTATGTTGGAATTAGGTAATTGGGAACCTTAAATACCAGGCTAAGGAACCTGTATTTTCTCCTAGAAGCCCTAGGGAGCCACCGAAAGGTTTTGAGCAGAGGAGTAACCCGATCATCATATCCTTACTTTAGGAAGGTTATTTTCACAGCTATTTGGAGGATGGATCAGAGAAGAGAGAGACTGGGGACAGGGAGACCAATTAGGAATTAGGAAGCCATTGCAATAGTCCAGGAGAGGGTGGATGAGGGCCTCAAATGGTGGCCATGCAAATGGACAAGTGAGAGATGTTGTGAAGGTAGAACTGGCAAGACTGGAAAACTGATTAGATATGGGGAATAGGAGAAGGGAGAGTCCAGAATGACTCTGAGTTTGAAAACTTAGATGACTGGGAGGATGGGGGTGCCCTCAAGAGAACTAGGAAAATTTCAAGGAAGGGTGAGTAGATTGGGGGGGGGCTGGGATAGGAGAGGAAGATGAGTTCTTTTTTGGACGTGGTGAGTTTCAGATGCCAATGGGACATCCAGTAGATTGTTACCCCCTTGTCCTTCTGCTGCTCAACTCTGAGTCACTCCCGCTATCTGCCTTCTCTTTTCCTTCTACCATGAATAATAATAATAATAATAATAATAATGATAATGATGGTAATGTTAATTATAACTAACATCTATATAGTACTTACTGTGTACTATGTACTAACTAAAGTTTGGAAAAAAGATTCAGATTGTGTATCTAGATTTAGGAATACTTTTGTAGATATTATACTTAAATCCATGGGAGCTGATGAAATCACCAAGGGAGAGGATATAGAGACACAAGAAGAGGGTTGTGAACAGAGCCTTGGGAGGACACTTTTGCTTAAGGAGCAGCAGATGAATGGTGATCCAGTGAGGGAGACGAGAAGGAGAAACACCAGGAAAGAGCAGTGTCATGGAAGCTGAGGAGAGTGGCCAAGAGGAGAAATTAATGAAAGGTGTGAGAAGCTGCAGAGAAATGAAGGTGGTGAAAAGCAAAAGCCATCAGATTAGACAATTTAGGCACCTCAGAGAGAGCCATTTCCATTGAGTTAATGGGGTTAGAAGTCAGTTTGCAGGAGGCTGAAAAGTGAGTGGGTAATGAGGAAGTGAAGGCCCCCAAGTATATACTACTCTTTCCATAAGTTTGCCAGTGAGGAGCAATAGCTTTAAGGGATGGCAGGGACAGCCAGGAGACCTGAGCAATGTTTGTAGACAACTGGGGAGGAGCCAGTAGAGATGGAGCCGTCAAACAGGAGGAAGAGAATTCTCTGACCATTGGGACAAACTCTGGTAAGAGACGGGAGGGGATCTGGTCAAGGGCAGAAGTGGGTGAAAGGCTGTCTCTTCCTCAGGGCCTGGAGCAAAGGGGCTGAGAAGGGTTGTCAGTCATGTAGAAGGGGTTTGAAGGAGTCTAGATGAGGGTAATCACGATAGCTTCCAGTTGTCAGTGAAGTAGGATGGGCAGAGTGGGGCTCAAGAAAAGTAGAAGTGTGGAGCAGCTTCTCTGGTGATTGGGGTAGCATCCATCTGGGAGGGATCAAAATGTCGCTGTACAGCAGTGGGACCCCAGTGAAGATCAGCTAATGTGCATTTAGAGAGAACCCAGCCTTTCCTTCAGCAGTGTTCTGCTAGTAGGTGACTTGGTGGATAGAGTGCTGGGCCTGGAGTCAGGAAGCCCTGAGTTCAAATTCAGCCTCAGATTTTTACTAGCTAGGTGATCCTGGGCAAGTCACTTTACCTCTGTTTACCTCAGTTTCCTTATCTGTAAAACAGGCATAATAATAACACCTACATCCCAGGGTTATTGTGAGAATCAAATAAGATAATAATTGTAAAACACTTAGCACAGTATCTGGCACATAGTAAATACTATGTAGATATTAGTTATAATTATTATTGTTGTTGTCATTATTATTATTATTCAGTACTAGTAGGAACAGAGAAGGCAGATAGTGGGAGTGACTCAGAGTTGAGCAGCAGAAGGACAAGGGGGCAAGGGCTTCCAGGGTAGAAGCTCAGGCATAGTTGAACTGGTTAACTCCAGGTAAGTCTGTGAAGGGAAGAAAGGTGAGGCCAAAGCAGGGATGATGGTCTCAAGGTCATAGTGAAGATGAGTCTGACAGCTAGGTGGCACAGTGGAGAAAGTGCAGGTGTGGGGTCTGGAAGACTCATCTTCCTGAGTTCAAATCTGGCCTCAGACACTTACTAGCCATGTGACCCTG